TTCTCAAGACAAATTGGTTTTGCATAGTTTTCGCGCTATTTCGTAAAGTATGCTTTCTGGCCACTTCGGTCTCCGGCGAGTCCATTTCACGAATGCTTTTCGTCGAAACGATAACTCATGTCACAATAACTCACAAAAGATTGCTTCGAAACCCTTTTTTTTAAATATTGTTACCACTTTGCGAGCAAGACCCGGTTTCGAATTCTCGATTTTGTGATGGTCTCAACAATTGCCAGCAACCAAAAAAATGGAACTTTGACTGCTGGCCTGTTAGCGCCATTTCACATCGTCCAGTCGGACGCCAGAAGACACAGAACCTTCAGCTCCACATGATCTGCCTTCCAATGGCACTGCGATGCCATCGCGAGGCTGGACTCTCCAGGCAGCCGGTTTGAAGTGGCGTCAAGCGACAGATGAGCATGTACAAAGTCTTTCTCGAGTTGTCGTTTGACTGTATCGTCGACCAGTTGGCGGCAGACCAACTTCCACCACTTCAAAGATGACGTTGATACACTCTGTCTCATCAATACAAGCAACTAAACAATCACACACACACACGCACATACGTGTACTTTGCGGGTGTAGCGCAATCTCAACTTGGCCAGCGCCCGTCTCTACGCCATGACGGGTCTGAAGAGGCAACTGACAAGTTCACATGTTTTGCTTCTGTGTCTTCATAATTTGCCGTCCTGAAGAGTCGTTTGGACCTATCAACCGGGCGGACATTAAAAAATCATGCAACTAGGCAACTTATGTCAAAGTCCAACATAGTTGTCCGGCCGCCTGTTGCTATGGTGATCCGATTGCCAGGGGCTTAAGTGTTGCACAATGGCGGACAAGCCATCTGGCTTGGGTGGGTGGACTGGTGGGCGCCGGTCGCGGGTAAAGGTCAAAAATGTCACATTTTTGCAAGTTGACTTTCGCGCCCACGAAAGCGTGCCTACCGACAGTGGGCGTTGGGGCAAAGTGAAAGATTGGTTCTGTCGTCAACTGGTGGCACATCTGGCCACGTCAAGGCGGGAGTGGGCGACTCGAGCAGTGGACCGGTGAACGGGGACACCCATCCTCCTGCCTCAACTTTAAATATTGCCCATGGCGACTGAAATCCGCATTGCCCACGGGGCTTTCTGGGCCTGGGCAAGACGTGTCATCTTTTATGTCTGACGCCTCGCCGAGAAGTCGTGCAAAACACGTTCCTGCTTCCGTCCACGTCCCGACTCGGCACGGTCTGCTCGAGCGGAAATGCTTTCGCGGTTCACTCACAAGCCGATTCTCATAGACTCCCCCACGCAAGCATACACTCGCACACTCATTGACACGTCCACCCATTCACACTCACTCAAACTTCCAATCGCTCACTCATTCGCTCTTGCATTTACTCACTTTCAATCAGGCACACATTCACTCAATCAATCAATCAATCAAGCATACATTCATTCATTCATTCACACAATTCCTCACCCATTCCTTCACACCAAAACACACACGTGCTCATTAATTTAGGCATTAATTCGGTTGCTCATTTACACCCACTTACACGTTCAGTTACACATTCGCTCATACATTTAATCAATTAGCCACGCATTCATACATTCGGTAACTTCCATACACATCTACATATACACACATGGTCATTCACAATCTCTCACTAACACACTCGTTTGCTCATTAGCAATCACTCATTGACTTAATCATTCAATCATTTGTTTATTCACACTCGCATTTCCAGTTGCACATTCACTCTTTCGCTCATTCATTCTCCTTCATAAACAATTACGCAGTCTTTCTCTCCTTCACTCATTTATTTACATTCCTAAACAATTCCTCACTCATCCTCTCGCTTCTTCACTTACTCACTCTCATTTTCCCTTAGTCACCCACACATTCACTCAATCAATCAATCAATCAAGCATGCATTCATTCATTCATTCATCAACTACCTCACACAATTCCTCACCCATTTACTCACACCAAGACACACACGTGCTCATTCATTTAAGAATTGATTCGGTTGCTCATATACACCCACTTACACTTTCAGTTACACATTCGCTCATACACTTAATCACTCACATACTTAATCAATCAACCTATCAATCAATTAGCCACACATGCATTTATTCGTTAACTTTCATACACATCCACATATACACACATACTCATTCACAATTGCCCACTAACACACTCGTTTGCTCATTAGCAATCACTCATTGACTCAATCATTCAATCATTTGCTTATTCACACTCGCAATTCCAGTTGCACATTCACTCATTCGCTCATTCATTCGCACTCATTCACTTACATTCTCCTTCATAAACAATTACGCAGTATTTCTCTCCTTCACTCGTTTATTTACATTCCTAAACAATTCCTCACTCATCCTCTCGCTTGTTTCCTTACTCACTCTCACTCTCACTCTTCCTTAGTCACCCATACATTCACTCAATCAATCAATCATGCATGCATGCAGGCATTCATTCTTTATTCATTCATTTATTAGCTACTTCACACTATTCCTCACTCCAAAATACACACATGCCCATTCATTAAATCATTGATTCGGTTGCTCATTCACACCCACTCATAAGTTCAATTACACATTCGCTCATACACTTACTCACTCCCACTTTATCACTCACTCACTCACTTAATCAATCAATTAAGCAGGCATTCATCCATCCGTTAACTTCCTCACACATCCACACACACACGCACATTAACAATCACTGATTGACTCAATCATTCAATCGTTTGCCTATTCACACTCACACTTTCAGTTGCCCATTCACTCTCTCCCTCATTCCCACTTATTCACTCATACTATCCTTCCTAAACAATTACGCAGTCTTTCTCTCCTTGTCTTGTTTATTTACTTTCATACACAATACCTCACTCATTCACTCTCTTGCTCACTTACACGTTCAATAACACACTTAATCACTCTTTCCTCCACTCATTTATTTACTTGCTGATACAATTTCACACTTCTTTATTCGCACCCGTACATATATACTTCCTCACTCACGCATTCACACTCATTTACAAGTTAGC